TTCTGGACCCACCGGTTGCCTCCTGTTCCTTGAGTCCTCAACACTGCCAATGTCAGCCACACTCTCTCAAGGTCATGCCCCCGGGGGCATCCTCACCAGCAACTGCGTCACTGCCACGACCTCAATTGTAAGGGTCCTCCTCTGTGACCGGAGAGCCCTCTTCCCGTCACTCCCTTCCTCCTGTGACTCCACCCCAGCCCTTGGCTCCACCCCCCTCTGACCCAGCCTGATATCACAGCCCCTCCCACTTTCCCCCAGCCCCCAGGTCCAAGGCCATGACCTCCCCAGGGAGCCCTCCTCAACGCCATAGCTGTGCTCATCCCCTGATGCGACTGTCTGACCAAAGCCCTGTTCTCAGTTAAATCCAGCTCTGGGACTCCGGGCGGGCACCTGAGTACTGAACTTGGCTGGAGGAGGTCTCAGGCTGCTGCTGAACACACTTCAGAGGGCACTTGACATTGCTGGACAGCCCTACACCTGAGACCCCAGGTCTCATTTAGTCGCCCCTCAAATCTCCAACCACGCTGGCTTGCGTTTCTCAGTTAAATGTCATATTATAACATGTTGATGTGTAACACGTTGATGTGGTTCAGTAATAAAAATTTTAAACAGGATATACAGTGAAATATCTGCCTCCCCAACTCCCTCCCCATCACCTCCCTGCCTCCTGCTCTCCCCTCCCCGTTTCCGGTGTGCACACACCTGTGAGCTCACACACTCACAAGTAACCACTCTCATTAGTTCCTGGTGTATTCCTCCAGGCTGCCTCAATGCACACGTAGGCAAAAGCAAATGAATATAATACATATGCATATGTATATGTATATGCATATGCATATACGTATGGTAGGTCGATATAAGATTCTATAGGTATCTTTTCCCACGTTTGTTTATTTGGAGGTAACATACCACAAATTGTTATGCAGTGTGCTTTTTTTCTCCTTGACATTATATATTGGAACAGTTCCACATCAGGACAGACAGAACTTCCTTTTTATGGCTGTATAGTACTCCATTGTTTGGTGCACTGCAATTATCTGCCTGGGGTTACTGATGGACATGTAGGGAGTTTCCAACATGGATAAGATACATTCCTGGAAGGGGGTGCCCGGGTGGCTCAGTGTGTTGGGCAACCGACTCTTGAGGTCGGCTCGGGTCGAGATCCTAGGGATCGAGCCCCACGGTGGGCTCCTCACTGAGCATGGGGCCTGCTTGGGATTCTCTCTCTTTCTCTCTCTCTCTGCCCCTCCCCCCCTTTATCTTTCTCTCTCTCTCAAAAAAAAAAAAAAAGATACATTGCTGGAAGGGGAATGATTGGTTCAGAGAGTTTTTTGACTTGACTGATATTCTCAAATGGCCCTCCATGAGGGTGTCAATCGCCCTCCCAGAGTAGGGGGTGACAGCACCTGATGGCTGTCGGCCTCGCATGCTTTCGACAATCTTATGAGACGTACTCTTTCTGCAGACCTCTCAAACTTAACCCCCCAGATGTCTCTCCTGGGGCCTCCCCACTCTCCCCTTCAGGCCTTCCTCGTTTGGGAGGTGGCACCATGGTCCACATGTCTGACTCAGTGTCTTTTCAACGGTTCGGGGATTTGCTCGTCTCACACGCCACCCCAGAGCCAGCCCTGTCTCCCTTCACAGCCCTCACTGACAACATCATCGCTCTCCCAGGCAACCCCACACCCCTGAAGGGGTCTCCTGGCCTCCCCTCGGCCCTCCAGTGTCCATGCAGCAGCCAGAGAGGTCTTTCCACGTCCTACATCACATCAGTCCCAACTGCCTCTTCAAAACCCTCAGTGCTTTCCTCGTACAGCTGGAGTGAACCCCAACTCCCAGGCCCAGCTAAGTTTCTCGGACCCTCGCCTGCCTCTCCGGGGGGATCCGCTCCACCTCCTACCTTCACCACCCAGCCCTGGAGCTCCTCCTAGAACTGGAACCCTGCCAGCATCCCGCTCCCATCCCCACCCCACGTCCTTTGCCGGGCTGCTCCCCTCCCCTGCACTGCTCTGTCGAGGACTGTGTAAGTGGCCTTGCCAAGTTTGGGGTCCCAAACCAAGTATCGCCTCCTGCGTGAGCACTCCCCCCTTCCCGCTTTAATCTCTACTGAGTCACTCCCACCCATCACCCCACTGCACTTGGACCTGAATTGTTTATTTACTGGCTCTGTGTTTCTTGTGGGCTTCAGGGAATGTCAGCCCTTCTGGGTGGCCTTGGCCAGCTCTCTCCGCTGCCCCGCCCCCAGCAGGAACGGGGGAGAGGTGGAGGGCCCCATCAATGCTGTGCCCCTCACTCCCCGTTCACACGGGGCCCCATGTCCATGTACAGCTGAGAGCAGGTGGCCACAGAAGGCCCCCTGTCCAGGCCGCCCCTCTGTGCCCTGAGCCTGGTGACTCACTCCACCACTAGGGTCAAATTCTTCCCTTATGGGGATTTTCCTGCGGGATGGGGAAGTTCCTGAAGTGGAACCCTTGGTGGTAGCCAGGGCCAGCGACTTGGTCCCTTCCCCACCCCTTGTGCCTCTTCTTCCTCATTCCTCCTGGAGTTCTGCTTCCTGGAGATGGGGGGTGCAGGGGCGCATTGGGGCGGGGAGGGGAGCTCCGTGCTGAGGACCCCCACCCATCCCAGCTGCAGCCAGGGTGGACTTTTAGGTCCATCAGGTCGGCCTGGCCCAAGGGATTTGAAGTTTCCAGCTTGTCCCGGGTGCCGGTGCCATAGCTCCCCGCAGGCCCTATCCAGTGGGGGGCAGGCGCGCTGGTCCCAGGACCCCCTGCCCCTCCCACCCCGTGCTCCGTGGGAGCAGCGAGGTTCCAACCCACCCTCGATCTGCGTGGCGTGGACCTGGGGCCCCAGCTCTGGGGAGTAGGATGTCCAGGGGCCACTGTCCCCCTCCTTCCTTGCTCCCCACTGAGAGGCTGGCTCCATCCCATCCCATCCCCACCTCCACAGGCTCCTCTCCCCTCCTCTGGAATTCACCCAAGGAGCCCCAGACGCCACACATGGCTCCCTTGGGGACCCTCCCTCAGCTATGTGGAATGGAGGGGACCCTGATCCCAGGGACTCTGCCCCTCCCCAAATCCTGGGCCAGGTGAACTGGTGTCCAGGTGAGCTGGGGCCATCTCTGAAGGTAGATTGTGGGGCTCCCCTGATCACAGCTGCAGCTTTGTGAGATCGGTTCCAGAAATATAAGGGTGAGTCCCCACAGGGGCCTACGGGGGGGGGGGGGTGCTGACATGACTGTCTGGGGTCCACTGCCTACCCCTGCATTCTCAGAAGGACAGTGGGGAGGCCAAACTGGTTTATGGTCCTCTATTTACAGGTAAGGAAACTGAGGCACGAGAGAGTGAAGTGACTGGTCATGCCCCACAGGCAGACCCTTCCAAAGCTCATGCTTATGGGTGAGAAGGGGGAGGAGCGCTGTAGGATCAGACACATTGGGGGTCTGACCCAGAGCCTGGGAGACGGGCTTTTCCCAGGCCCCCGGAGGCTAAGAAAGCCACTGCTGCCCCCCATTCCTGCTCCCCAAATAAATCACTCCAAGCCACTTCTGAAATCAGTTTTTTATATTAAGCTATAAAAATCCGGACCATGTCCTGAGTACATACATACAAAAGCAGTACTATCAAAAATAATAATGACGTTATTAACACACACTAACTCCTACAAATGTACAAAGGCCTTTGTGCACCATTTACACAGGCCAGCTCCTGGCCACAGTACCTGGAAAGAGGGGACAAACCCCAGCTCAGTACTGTCAGAGGCACGCGGCTGAGGCGTGCCTAAGTCTGAACTGCACTGGCTGAACTGGAGGGCCTCGTGGGTGGGCAGAGGCCGGGGTGGGGGGGGGGGGGGACAGAGGGGGGGGATAAGGTGCCCCACGGGGC